GCTAAAATAAACAATTTTAATAAAATCTGTATATATTTTTTCTTCAGTGTAATAGTTTAACTTAAATCTAAACTTTAGTTGAGTCTTGTGATTATTGATTAGTAATTTTATTTTATTATTTTATAATTATTTTTTTTTTGAATACAAATAGTTCTACTATTGGTTTAGTTGATTATTGTGATTATTGATTTGAAATTTTTGTTTTTTATTATTTTCAACAATAAAAATGATTGTTGATTTTGTCGGTGATATATATATATATACTTATTTGTGGGTTTGTTGTATAAAATAAAATTAGTCACTCATTAAAATTACTTATGATTAATATTAGTAAAAAAAATTGCAGGACTATGTTGGGCGGCGGGGGATAAACTATTATCTATTTATTTTTATATCAACTTATAAATCAGTGATTGAATGGTATTTTATTTATTTTTATTTTAATACAAATATCTGAACTAATATTCTACTAATAATAATAAGTATTTAATATTTTTTTTTTGGATTCTAGTTTTGCTCTCTCTTTACAATTCTTGTTGTTTTTACTTCTTTGAAATGATATCTGTTTTTCTTTGTTGTTTTGATTGTATCATTCAATAGCTATTCTACTTCTTTGATCTTTGGTTGTCGTCGTCGTCGTCGGAAGAATCATCATAAGAGACGAGAGATTGTTTTTTGGGCGACCTCTTCCTCTTCTTTGACGACGACGGCGGCGGTGGCGACGACGACAAAGGAGGCGGCGGTGATGACGGCAGAGGAGGCAAAGTAGGCGGCGGTGACGACGGCAGAGGCGGCTGAAGAGGCGGCGGTCCTGACGGCAGAGCACTGGTTTATTGAGCACTGGTAGGTTTTAGGGACAGGTAGGCTGGTTTTGTGTAATTACACTTTGCTATATTTTGTGAGTTTATGGCACCGGGAGGTTAGCTACATGTTAAATTTTTTCAAATGCAAATTTTTTTTGCAAAAAAATTTCTCAAAAGTTTAGTCGAATTAATATGTATTCAGTTCAGTAGTTTTGTTACATTAGGTTATGTAGTAGTTGTATAAACAAATTAATCTCATTAAAATTACTTATGATGAATATTATAAAATTAGTAAAAGAATTGCACGGCTGTACATGTTGCGCGGGTTAAACTAGTAAAGTTTGATATAATAAATTTTTATATTATAATCAATTAAATAATAAATAAATAATAATTACTATTTTTATTTTATGTAAAACCCAAATCAATGATTGTATGGTATATATACTAAAATAAATACTAATATTGTGTATAATTTTTTAAATATTTTGTATTTTAATTCTAGTTTTACTCTCTCTTTAAAATTCTTATTGTTTTTCATTTAAACCATTCAATGGTCTCTTCTATGCTTTCCGTCTTTTTCATCCTCTTTTGAACTGTCTTTACGTTTTTGAGGAGAAGGCGGTGACGACGGCAGAGGCGGTAGAGGAGGCGGCGGCCCTGACGGCAGAGGAGGCAGAGGAGGCGGCGGCCCTGACGGCAGAGGCGGTAGAGGAGGCGGCGGCTCTGACGGCAGAGGAGGCAGAGGAGGCGGCGGCCCTGACGGCAGAGGCGGCAGAGGAGGCGGAGGCATTGACGGCAGAGGAGGCGGCGGCCCTGACGGAAGAGGCGGCGGCCCTGACGGCAGAGGCGGCAGAGGAGGCGGCGTTGAAGTTGTTTTTTTCTTTCTTTCTCTTTCATCGTCTTTTGAACTGTCTTTACGTTTTTGGCGGTCACTTGATCTCCGACTACGACTTTCGCCGTCTCTTGATCTCCGACTACGACTTTCGCCGTCTCTTGATCTCCGACTACGACTTTCGCCGTCTCTTGATCTCCGACTATGACTTTCGCCGTCTCTTGATCTCCGACTTTGTCGGCGGTGGCGATCGTCGTCGTCATTGGACTCACGAGACCTTCTTCTTTTGTCATCCGATTTTGAATGCCTGGATGAGTGTCGTGTTGTCGAAGAAGCCGTATGTGACGAGTGTCCTAATGTTTGATCCAAATGACTAGTCGTTTTTGATGTTGATTGTTGTACTGTCGGTGCTGTTGAGGAACTACTTGTTGTTGTTTTTCGACTACTCTTTCTTATTAAAGACCTTGCATACGGCGGTGGTTTCAATTGACTACTTTTGATGAGATTTGTAATTTCATCGTCCGTTTTCTTTTCAAACAACGTTCCTCCAGTAATGTCGTCAGCTTTTGTCTCAATGTTTACCTGAATTTCCGTTTTGTTGTCATCACTCGGATCGACAAATTCATAGTAAAGACTTTGAACTTTTCCTATTCGGTGATCAGTCTTATGATAGTATCGTCCGTCGACACCCAATCGATAGTCTAAGCGATTTTCCATCAGATGTTTGTAATCGCATGGATTGATGATTGGTTTCCATTCGTACTCATCGAAAACACCCGACTCTTCTCTTAGCACTAGTATAGGTGACTCATGGTTTTCAAACGGATAAATAGATTTCTTGGACAGTGTTTTGTAGGTCATTGGGTCGTAACTGTACTTTTTAAAGACTGTCCGCAAATCACATTTTTTGTCCGGAAATGATAATAGTTGTGGCAAATAATAGAGCCGATATTCGTTTGTCTCGGGTTTAGTGGTTATCTTGACCGGTGGATAGGCCGGTGGTGGACAGTATGAGCGTAAGTCTAACCGGTCGTTAATTTCAGTGAATCTATAAAAGTTGAACTCTTTCGGATAGACTTTCGGGTTGTTTTGGTTATAACGATCTGATGGATCGATATGCCATTTGGTATAATAATCTTCGTAAGCCTCTCTGACTCGATGTGAGTCATGAATATCGATCTCAATATGTCTGTCCACTTTAGTCTGGTTTTTAGTCCATGTATTTGTGAGAATCTTTTCAAGCATTTGATTGTCTTCGGGCACCCGAAACGGTTTCGGTTTTTCATAGATGTATATATTTTCATTACTGTGTCGGACAATTGCCCGGTGAAGCTGTTCGTATTGATGTCTTTGCCAAATCTCATCGATTCCTGGCGCCCATTCCTCGACGGCCACAATGTACGCACCTTCCGGTACGATCAGATAGCATTTGCGTCGACATTGCACAACATTTGCTTCCACATCATTTACTTGACCTCTTTTATTAATATCTAATATCCAGGCAATGCTGTTATAATCGGATTCAGTTGCGCCCAAAAACACTACCGGATTCTTGTATTTTTTGACTCTTTTTTTTATTAAATCATTTTTTACATAACCTTTGCAAAACATATTCCACGTATAGGACACTGGTTTGTTGTCTCCTAACAAATTTTTTGTCGATTCATAAACCGGAAACGAAACTTCCAGTTCGTCTTCTACCACTACAACACCTCCCTGTTCGACAAGTATTTGGTTATGCTTTTCGATTTCCGGCTGATTATGATAACTGTCCCGAACAGTTAGTTTGGCACCGGCACACACATACAGTGCATAGCGTCTAGTGTTCGGCTGATCATAAGCATTATGTTGTCTATCTTCTAAACAAAACTCGTTAAATATATGTTGCGTCAGTTCGTAAACACCGGCCACTGATACCGGTGTCTTGTATCGGGTGTAGTGTCGGGTATCTGTTTCAGACTTAAGTCGATACTCTTTGTCGACTATCCAATAATCTTGACCCGCATCTGACAATCTTCTCGTAAATTTATCATATTTTAGATAACAATCGCATAGATTTTGTTCACCGAATCGTAGATAGAGTAGACCCATTGTAAATACCTGTCTGTCCAATACATACCTTCTTTGTCTTAACCATGTTTTGCTTAGTTCGTTGCGTATGGTCGGATATTGGGCAGTTATTTTTGATGTCTTATACATATCGATTATCCAATGGCCGGTTTTACTATTTTTTAGTGCAATCAAATAACAACAATTAATATTGCCGTTGCTGTTTATATATAAGTGTTGACCTAATTGTCGACCGGCCGATTGCCAAAAATATTTATTAGAATCTAAAACATCTTCGCTATATTTTCCGATTATATTGATCGGAACGGGAACCCCTTCGGCCATCTGTTCCAAAGCTAACTGATCGGCTGGATTACCCAAAGAGTTGCCCATCATTAGCATCGATGTTATCGACTGATACCAATAGAACTGCCGATTGATGGTATCGGTTAACACTTCTGGTGTGTTAGAGTTGTTAGAAAAGTATTCACGGGTTTTAGTGCTAAGGTAGGGCCTGTCCGGTCGATAAATGGCGAAATGGTGCCAATCGTCTTCATAATGGGAAAACTGATACTCCGTTTGGCAGGCATTCAAAATGATATTAACTTCTTTTCCATTACCGCTTTCTTTAGATTTCACTTCAATTCTAGATCGCTGGACATACAGTCCGAATACCCGATGATAACTGTTGAACGACCAGAATGTTAGCCGAGATCTTTGGTTTTCGGTTGTCTCAAAATAGGGTGTTTCGCGTAAATACAGATTAGTCTGTTCTGTTTTATTGAAATACAGGTTCATCGGGTCGTCCTCTACTAATACTACTACTACTGCCGCCACTTCATTGTTGTCGCTCATCGTTTCTGAATTAATAATCAATTCGTTTGTTTTAATCTATCTTATTATTTGACAGCTCCGGTAGTTTCGTCTGAATTGAAGAGAGTTTTGATCTAACTATGTGTGTATCTGTGACTGATATCAAACGGTTTTTATTTCTCTACTATTTGTTTAGTTGACTCTTTTGATTATTGGTTTGTAATTTTGTTTGTATTATTTTCAACAATAAAACTGATTGTTGATTTGCTGGTGATATAAAAAATAAATTAAAAAATTTTATATAAATAACAATTTTTAAATTTTTTACGACAAATAATGACTTATAAAAATGGTTTCATATTTAAAGTATATAATAAATTGTTATATTGTAATCAATTATATAATAAATAAATAATAATTACTATTTTTATTTTATGTAAAACCCAAATCAATGATTGTATGGTATATACTAAAATAAATACTAATATTGTGTATAATTTTTTAAATATTTTTTATTTTAATTCTAGTTTTACTCTCTCTTTAAAATTCTTATTGTTTTTCATTTAAACCATTCAATGGTCTCTTCTATGCTTTCCGTCTTTTTCATCCTCTTTTGAACTGTCTTTACGTTTTTGAGGAGAAGGCGGTGACGACGGCAGAGGCGGTAGAGGAGGCGGCGGCCCTGACGGCAGAGGCGGCAGAGGAGGCGGCGGCCCTGACGGCAGAGGCGGCAGAGGAGGCGGCGGCCCTGACGGCAGAGGCGGCAGAGGAGGCGGCGGCCCTGACGGCAGAGGCGGTAGAGGAGGCGACGGCCCTGACGGCAGAGGAGGCGGCGGCGATGACGGCAGAGGCGGCAGAGGAGGCGGCGGCCCTGACGGCAGAGGCGGTAGAGGAGGCGGCGGCCCTGACGGCAGAGGCGGCAGAGGAGGAGGCGGCCCTGACGGCAGAGGCGGCAGAGGAGGCGGCGGCCCTGACGGCAGAGGCGGCAGAGGAGGCGGCGGCCCTGACGGCAGAGGCGGTAGAGGAGGCGACGGCCCTGACGGCAGAGGAGGCGGCGGCGATGACAGAAGAGGCGACAGAGGAGGCGGCGGCCCTGACGGCAGAGGCGGTAGAGGAGGCGGCGGCCCTGACGGCAGAGGCGGCAGAGGAGGAGGCGGTCCTGACGGCAGAGGCGGCATAGAAGGAGGCGGAGATGACGTCAGAGTCGGGAAAGGAGGCGGCGGCCCTGACGGTAGAGGCGGCATAGAAGGAGGCGGAGATGACGGCAGAGGAGGAGGCGTTGAAGTTGTTTTTTTCTTTCTTTCTCTTTCATCGTCTTTTGAACTGTCTTTACGTTTTTGGCGGTCACTTGATCTTCGACTACGACTTTTGCGGTCTCTTGATCTACGACTTTGGCGGCGGTGGCGATGGTCGTCGTCATTGGACTCACGAGACCTTCTTCTTTTGTCATCCGATTTTGAATGCCTGGATGTTTGTCGTGATGTCGAAGAAGCCGTATGTGAAGAGTGTCCTAATGTTGTATCCGAATGGCTAGTCGTTTTTGATGTTGATTGTTGTGTTGTCGGTGCTATTGATGAACTACTTGTCGTTGTTTTTCGACTACTTGATCTGATATACGGCGTTGGTTTCAATTGACTACTTTTGATGAGATTAGTAATTTCATCGTCCGTTTTCTTTTCAAACAACGGTTGATGTCCTCGAGTAATGTCATCAGCTTTTGGATCAATGTTTACCTGAATTGCCGTTTTGTTGTCATCACTCGGATCGACAAATTCATAGTAAAGACTTTGGACTTTTCCGATTCGGTGATCAGTCTTCTCATAGTATCGTCCGTCGACACCCAATCTATAGTCTAAACGATTTTCCATCAAATGTTTGTAATCGCATGGATTGTTGATTGGTTTCCATTCGTACTCATCGAAAACAACCGACTCTTTTCTCAGCTCTAGTATTGGTGACACTTGTTTGCCAAACGGATAAATAGATTTCTTGGACAGTGTTTTGTAGGTCATTGGGTCGTAACTGTACTTTTTAAAGACTGTCCGCAAATCACATTTTTTGTCCGGAAATGATAATAGTTGTGGCAAATAGTAGAGCCGATATTCGTTGGTCTCGGGATTAGTGATCTTGACCGGTGGATAGGCCGGTGGCGGACAGTATGAGCGCCATTCTGACTTGTCTTTAACTTCAGTAAATCGATAAAAGTTGAACTCTTTTGGGTAGACTTTCGGATTTTTTCGGTTATAACGATCTGATGGATCGATATTCCATTTTTTATAATAATCTTCATAAGCTTCTCTGACTCGATGTGAGTCATGAATATCGATCTCAATATGTCTGTCCACTTGAGTCTTGTTTTCAATCCATGTATTTGTGAGAATCTTTTCAAGCATTTTATTGTCTTCGGGCGCCTGAAATCGTTTCGGTTTTTCATAGATATGTACTTTTTCATTACAGTGTCGGACAATAGCCCGGTGCAGCTGTTCGTATTGATGTCTTTGCCAAATCTCATCGATTCCTTCCGCCCATTCCTCTACGGCCACAATGTACGCACCTTCCGGTATCACCAGAAAGCATTTGCGTCGACATCGCTTTACATTTCTTCCCATATTCTTTTCATTGCCTCGTTTATCAATAATTAAATCCCAGGCAATGCTGTTATAATCGGATTCATTTGCTCCCAAAAACACTACCGGATTCCTGTAATCTTTGACTCTTTGTCTCATCGATTCATTTTTTATATAATCTTTGCAAAACTTTTTCCATGAATAGGCCATTGGTTTGTTGACATTCGAATCCTCTATCATTTCATAAACTGGTAACGAAAACTCCAGTTCGTCTTCTACCACAACAACACCTCCCTGTTCGACAAGTATTTGGTTATGTTTTTCGATTTCCGGATCAGTATGATAACTGTCCCGAACAGTTAGTTTGGCACCGGCACACACATACAATGCATATCGACTGGTGGTCGGCTGATCATCAGATTTTCTTTTTCGATCTTCTAAACAAAATTTTGTAAATAAATACTGCGTCAGATCGTAAACACCGGCCACTGATACCGGTGTATTGAATCGGTTGTAATATCGAGTATTTGTTTCAGACATAAGTCGATACTCTTTGTCGACCATCCAATAATCTTTACCCGCATCTGAGAATCTTTTCGTAATTGTATCATATTTTAGATAACAATCGCATTGTTGATGTTTACCGAATTGCCGATAAAGTAGACCCATTGTGAAAACCTGACTGTCCAATACAATCCTATCTTCTTTTTTTAAATATACTGGGCATAGTTCGTTGCGTATTGTCGGGTATTGGGCAATTATTTTGGACGACGGAAACATATCCATCACCCAACGGCCGGTTTCAGGATGTTTTAGTACAAACAGTCGACAACAATTGATATTTCCGGTATTGTATATATACAAGTGTATACCCAATTGTCGACCGGCCGATTGCCAAAAATATTTATTAGCCACTATAGGTTTTTCTCTATATGTTCCGGGTATATTGATCGGAACGGGAACCTCTGCGGCCATCTGGTCCAAAGTTAACTTATCGGCTGGATTTCCTATAAAGTTACCAATCATTAGCATCGACGTCAGTGACTGATACCAACGGAACTGGCGATTTATAGCATCGGTAAGCTTTGCTGTCATGTCAGCCAGTGTTTTGTATTCGCTGGCTTTAGAGCTAAGGTAGGGTCTGTCCGGTCGATAAATGGCGAAATGATGCCAATCGTCTTCATAATGGGAAAACTGATACTCCGTTTGAAAGACATTCAAAATCATATTAACATCTTTTCCATCAGCAGTTTGATTAGATTTTACATCAGTCATAGTTCGCTGGACATACAGACCGAATACCCGATGATAAGCGTTGAACGACCAGAATGTTAGCTGAGATACTTGGCCTTCGGTTGTCTCCAAATAGGGAGCTTCGCGTAAAAAGAAATAGGTTTCGTCTGTTTTATTGAAATACAGGTTCATCGGGTTGTCCTCTACTACAGCCGCCACCACATTGTCGTCGCTCATTGTCGTCTGAATTAATAATACGTTTGTTTAACTATCTGTGTGTTAATCTATCGTTTTAATTGACGGCTCCGGTAGTTTTGTCTAATTGAAGAGAGTTGATGTATAATTGTGTTTTTGTGTGTGTCTAACGGTTCTCAATCTTTGCTATTGGTTTAGTTGACTCTTGTGATTATTGATTTGTAATTTTGTTTTTATTATTTTCAAATTTCAAAATTTTTAGAAATAATTGTTGATTTTGCGGGTGATTTAAAAAATTAATTTCTAAATTTTCTATATATAAAATACAATTTTTTATTATTATCATTAATTTTTAGTTTATACTATATATCTAATTAATAATATGACAACAAATAATACTAAATGATAATAATTATAATAAAATGTGATTTTCTTTTGATTTTCATATACAGGTAATCAATTATAGTATGTTATTACTACACATTAATTGTTGTTATTATTGTCAATCACTAAAATGACAATTTTTTTTTACTAATTAATTTGATGATAAAAATTATTTATTCAAAAAAAAGTTATCATATTTTTTGTTGTTGTTGTTGTTGTTGTTGTTGTTGTTGTTATGTTATTACAAATGATTTTTTGTTGTTGTAAATAATTACTCCTATTATTAAACTATCAATCAATGATTATCATTAGTAGTAGTGATACAATTACAAATCATTGAATGAGAAGTATAGTTATTATTTTATATTTTATAATTAGTATTTTTTTTTTAATTATTCATTAATTAATAAATGCATAATATTTTCAGTTATTTATAAAAGTAAATCTAAATCAAACGAAAAATATTATGTAATGTTTTGCAATTATTTTTTTTTAATAAATAATATAACTGTTTTTAAATTGTTTTAAAAAAATTGCTTCAAAATCAAAGAATAAAATATTAATTTTATTTTTTTTTATTAAATAATAAAATCAACAATTATTTTAATGTTAAAACAAAAATCATATCAAAAGTTTTACAACTAATTTTCAATTTAGCCGACAAACCAACCAACCAATCAACCAACCAACAAACCATCCATCCATCCATCACCTAATTGATAGACCTAACCAAACAAACTACTGGAGCTGTGTTGTTCATTATTAACATAACCATCAACAACAACAACAACAATGAGTGGCAAAGAGGAACCGTACGAACAGATCACTAGCAGTAGTGAAGAGGAACCGTACGAACAGATCACTAGCAGTGAAGAAGAACAAGTGTACGAACAGATCACTAGTGGCGAGGAATCGGACGGACAGTCCGGTAACAACAATTTTGAGGAACTGGATGTTAGTTCAATGCAAGTCTACTACAACAAAACTAATGAATCTTATCTGTATTTACGCGACGTTTACTACTTTATGACATCCAGCCAACAACCATCGCTTCCACCATCTACTACTGGTGGTGGACCACAAAGAAAACTAGCCTTCTGGTCGTTAAATGGATATCATCGGGTATTTGGACTCTTTTTGAAAAGACGACTGTTTCGAGAGAAACCTGATTTCACTATTTCATTGATTGCATACCAGACAAGCCCCAAGATAAGCAACAAAAAGGATTGGCATCACTATGCCATTCAATGGCCACAGAAGCCATACATAGAATATTTCTACGACTACTTCTATGAGGCGCCACCTAATCAGTCGAAAGACCCCCTAAAGATGAACGAACAGACGAACCGACAGTTTTATTGGTATCAGTCGACTACTTCAATGTTGCTAATTGGCAGCAGTGTTGGCCAACTGGTCGATGAATTGGGAGCGTTGCCGGCGCCGCCCAGTATACCCGATATGTATAGGGCCTATAGTACTTTCGATGCAAACAAATACTTTTGGATACTATCCCGGCCACAGATAGGTTCGCACGTTGCCATACATAGGGACGGCAATGTATGCGTGTCGAGATTGTATGTCCGATTAGATGCCACTAATAAAACTGAACCGCCGGTGTTAGATGTGAACTCATCGGCCCGAATCACTGCCCAATATCCGACCATACGTAACGAAAAAGATGTAGCAAAATGGCGCAAAACTGGTAAACATATAATGGTCAGACAGATCTACACAATGGGCCTTAACTTTCGGCGATTCGGTAATCAGAAAAGGTCCGAATGTTTCCTTGAGAAATGTTATTTTGGCGGTAGTACTAAACAATGGGATTATAAATCGGCACCGGCATCATACTGGTCACTCAATGGCCAGTATCGTAAAACCGAAGCAGATATGTCCGACGATCGGATCTATGGACGATATAATCGGGAAAAAAATCCGCTCTGTGTTGCCGGTGTCTATGATCTGACTGAGGAACTGTACAGAGACCAGTGCTACGACGAAAGTCGACCGACCAGAACAACTATTGCACCGGCAGCCGGCCGAAGCTATGTACTGTATGTGTGTGCCGGTGCCAAACTGATTGTCCGGGACAGCTATCACCGGAATCCGGAAATTCGACATCACAATCAGACTCTGGTCGAACAGGGAGGTGTTGTACTGGTTGAAGATGAACTGTCAGTATCGGTGCCAGCGGAAACTGGTAGCGGTGTTTTCAAACAGTGGCGTTGGTCTGATTTTTGCAAAAAAATCATCACAAATATAGCGTTGAGGAAAAAACTACGCGACTATTGCAATCCGGTTGTATTTTTGGGCGCCAATGAGTCCGACTTTAATACAATTGCCTGGCAATTGACTATCGATAAGCTTGGATATGAAGAAGATCGTGGAAACAATATTTTCCGATATGAACGTCGATGCCATCTGTCGGTACCCGAAGGCGGACACATTGTGGCCGTCGAAGATTGGAAATCGGGAGTCGAGGAAATCTGGCGCCGACATCGGTACGAACAGTTGCATCAGGCAATCGTACGGCACAGTAATCCAATGTGTTATATGTATGAACAGTCGAAACCCAGTGGGTTTGAGGTACCGAAAGACAATCAGATGCTTAGAAAGATACTAACAAATACAAGCATTACTACTACTGGACCAAACCAGACGACACCAATGGACAGACACTTGGATATCGATATTGTCGAACTGTGCGAAGAAATCAAAGAGGCATTCAATAAACAAGGAGATGAGTTAGTCCGGCATAAGATTTTTCCAAAAGAGTTCAATTTCTATCGATTTACGCCCGATGTCGACAAGTCAACTATACGAACGTATTGTCCGCCGCCGGCCTATCCGCCAGTAAAAGTAACCATCAGTGAACAGGACTCAAGATTATACTATTTGCCACAAATATTATCGTTTGGCGCCGACAACAAAAAATACGATCTGCGGACAGTCTTCACTAAATACTGCGTAAGTGCCAACGGGACCAACGCGACAGATCCGGGTGACCAAACTGTTTATCCATTAGGAAAACATAACTACTCGCCAGTACTACTAGATTTGAGAAAAGAGTCGGCAGTTTTCAATGAATACGATTGGAAGTCAATCGACAATCCATACGATTACAAACATTTGCTAGAAAATCGTGAAGACTATCGATTGGGTGTTGACGGCCGATACTATCGTAAGGTTAACAACAATGTTATCGGTAAAGTCAGATGCAGTTACTATGAGTTTGTCAACACCGGCGACCCAAACAAAACGGCTATACCCGTAGACATTGTGACGAATGTTGATGACATTACTATCGGAAACAAAGTGTTGTACAAAAAGATTACTGATAGAGAAATGAATACATTGATTATGAACAATGATTTGGTACCGGCCAACTACGGTATGAGTACACAAATAGGTTGGCATTCGGGTAGTCAAATGGTACAGACACCCGCCCAATTACAATTTCAGCCATCAAAACCAGCATCAGCATCAGCACCATCATCAGCATCAGCATCAGCATCAACATCAACATCAACATCAGCATCAGCATCAGCATCAGCACCAGCACCAGCACCAGCACCAGCACCAGCACCAGCACCAAAACCAACACCAACACCAACCCAGTCAAAGGGTAGTAAATTGGTATGGCCTCCCAGTCACCTTCCACGCCAGCCATTGGGTAGTAAATTGGTAAAGCCTACCGGACAACTTCCATCACAGTCATTGGGTAGTAAATTGGTAAAGCCTACCGGTCAACTTCCACCCCAATCATTGGGTAGTAAATTGGTAAAGCCTACCGCTCAACTTCCTCCTCAATCATTAGGTAGTAAGTTGGTTAGGCCTACTGGTCAACTTCCAAGTCAGCCATTGGTAAGGCCTGCCAGTCTACTTCCACGCCAGCCATTGGTAAGGCCTGCCAGACTACTTCCACGCCAGCCATTGGGTAGTAAATTGGTAAGGCCTACCGGTCAACTTCCAGGATGGTCATCGTCACAGACTACTACTACTACCGGTCTTCCAGGCTGGACACCGGTAACAACTACAACCGCCCAACATTATGGTCAGCCATCTACGAGTCAACCGCCGACAGCACCGACGTCGTCGTCGACGTCGCCGTCAAAGAAGAGGAAGAGGTCGCCCAAAAAACAGTCTCTCGTCGATTATGATGAATCTGACTCTGACAACGACGAAGACAAAGACAAAGAATCACCCAAAAAATCAAAGACTGAATAAGAAGAATATAGCCATTGAATGACAACCAAAAAAAACAACTGAAAAACATATATTCTTTCAAAGAAGTAAAATAAATCCTTAAAACAAAACAATTGTCTTTTATTATTATTATTGTTATTATTAACATAATTAGTAATATTCATAATAACTTCCGATTCATAATAAGTTTGTGTAAAATTGGAAAATATGATAATAAAAATTATTTATTAAAAAAAGTTATCATATTTTGTTGTTGTTGTTGTTGTTAAGTTATTACAAATGATTAAAATACATTAATCAACTATTTATAGGGTATTTATTATTTAGTTATAATATAAGTTTTTGTTGTAAATAATTACTCTTATTATTAAACTTTCAATTAAATCAATGATTATCATTATTAGTGAAAAATCAAAAGTATAAAATTGAAATTAATATAATTACAAATCATTGAATTTTTTAATAGATTTTTAATAGAATTTTTATTATTTTATATTTTATAATTAGTATTTTTTTAATTATTTATCAATAATTAAAATAAATACATAATGTTTTCAGCAATTTTTAAAAGTAAATCTAAATCAAACAAACGAAAAATATTATGCATTGTTTTGCAATTATTTTGTTTACAAATAATATAAC